ATGTGAACAGAAAAAAAACTATTACACTTGCATGGAAATGTAGAACACACCCTCCAAAAACCGTGGGCTTGGTTTTGCTGCAATAATACTCTTTTAAGTAAAAAGAAAAGTCGAATTACAGTGTAACGGTGTCTACTTCTACCATTCAAAATATTTCACCTGGATGCGGCATAACATTTAGACATTTATGTCAGATGTACCTATGTCGAGTAAAATAAGAATGTGGTATTCGCGTTTGGCATAGCGCTTGCTTCGTTCATTAGTAAACTCAGCATGCAGCACAACTTCCTCCGACGGGCTATCCAGGTACTACGAAACATGCACACCCATTGATCAGCGGTTCATAGATCTACGGGTAAGGTTAAGGCTCAGGAGTAGGCACGAGGCGGGTGTAACTGGTTAGGACTTAGGTTAGTGGTCAGGCGAAGACTATACGGGCTTGGCTACCAAGAACCGGGTCACAGCTCAGCTACCTCCGTCTAACCTTTGGCTTGCCAAACTACTTCCAGGTCAACAACATCGCACGGCACAGTGAACTTCAAAATAAAAGTGTGTATGCATTAGCCACAGCATGTATCACATGTCTTCAAAACCTTTATTTTGACAATTGAGATTGACACGGAAGTAATTTGCAGTGTTTTCAAGCCTGGCCTGTAAACAGTCTTAGGATCCAATGTTCAAAACGTCCTTAACTTGCTGGTACATGCCCAGTTTGGTGGGTGGTCGCATCCCACATGGATGGGACCCTGAAAGGCCCGACACCTTTTTCTTCTCCCTCCACAGCAAACCGCAGAGCCGAGCTGACTGTGATGGAAAGCGGAGAGCAGAGGGCTGACAGCAGACTGGACTCCTCCAGGTGGACAGTGTGGATCATAGAGTACGTCTGGGCCCACGGGATGATGGATATACAGGAAGGTTGGTTGAAAAGATTTTAATAAGAGGTTTAACTTGTAGTAATAACACACTCATTACATTATATTACATTAACACCGCAGGTTTGACAAGTGAATGCAGTGAAATGTTTCTCACATCTGTGTTGTGTAAGGGTTTTGTGTTTTTCACTATGATAAACGAGGAACAACGTTTCTGCTCTACCGTAGATATGACATGCGTATGTGTGGAAGTGACTATAAAGCTGAACTTGTCACATGTGAGATGTTTATGAGTTGTGTAGTTTCAACTAAGTGATAATTCCCCACAACATTTCTTAGATGATGCCATTTAAGAGTGAAATGATATTTCACAAAATCAAAACTGAGGAAAAGTTAATGCACCAGTATTAACATCAATTACTGTAATATATAATGACTTTCAAGTCAAAGCTACTGGGTGTGAAGGAGTATAAGGTGGGTAAACGTGCTGTCTGTGATAGTTACGTTACCACCAAACACAAACAGAAGCTTCTGTCTTTGTTGTACCTGAAAAATACATCAGGATTTTCCCTCTACATACTAGACAAGACCTTTATATTGTTGCTTGAGCTTTTAGTCCCCATTTTGCATCAGTGAAAGTGGTATAGATAATGGATAGATTGGTGCACTGGATTTTTAATATATGCTTCAGAGTAGGCTAGTGGTTCGGATCAGGGTTGCGTCAGGAAGGGCATCCGGAGTAAAACACGTGCCAAATGTCAACATGTGAGTTGTCAGTGTGACGATTGGCTGTGGCGACCCGTAAACGGGAAAAGCCGAAAGTGACTTTCTTTCTTCAGAGTAAAATAATTGTATGGATGCTGACACAGCATCCATACTATGTTATCCTGTTCTTTATTATTGTATGGATGGTGATTCAGCATCCATACTATGTTTTCCAATTATTTCTTTATTGTATGGCTGCTGCATTCGCAGCCACACTACGC